CAGCAAAAATGTGCGCATCAGAACCGCAGCATGCAGGACTTCCTTGTTTTCTTCTGGATCTGTGGCTCAGTCCCGCCCCCGTCCTTTTTTGTCCAATGGGAGCAATGATCATCAGCCTGATGGCTTTGTTTACAAGTTATAGTTCATTTGCAAAAAAAGCACAATGTGAATGCAAACCGCACCAAACAAAAAAAAAAGTCCATTTTTGGTCCGGACCAAACAATTGGACCAAAGGACTTTCCTGGTCTGAAAACACCCTAAATCTAAAATCAAAATATCCATACTTTAGTTGTTTCAGGTAATGCATACTTTTAATAGGAACACAGTGAAAAGTAACTAATGAAATCTTCTCTAAATCACGTATGTGGGAACTACTTTTTCTTCCGCCTGGGTAAAATTGAGTCGTTTTTTCATATTAATATGTTCATGGAGGACCGAAACTGACATAATTGGAAATACATGTAGAAATAATTAAACYGCTTGATAAAAGAAATAAATGGCTTGATAAAATAGCAATTAAGTAATAAGGTGGCAATTATTGCATAAAAACATCAAAAAAATGTGTGATTGAAATAAAAAGTAAAATGAAGRAATTGTGATAATGTTAAATTAATAAGGTTAAAAATGATAATAGCATTAATTTATGTTGCACTGTATAGTCAAATAAATTAATTACGCTCTTATTTGTTGATCTTTTTAATGCAATAATTTCCCCAAGAATCAAACTTCACTGCTGGACGTTTGTGTTTTGTGCTAATTTAAATATTTTATTCCTTATGTTTCCATCTGAGCCACTTCTTCTACCTCAGTTGTTTTCCAGTCCACCTGCCATGCTCACCTGTCCCGTTTCACAGTCGCAGCTGCAGCCACTCCACTCATCAGCGCCTTCATTCCCTTCACCCAGTGTTGCCAGATAATTACTGCCTTTATGTGGGAATTTTAGGGCCAAATGTGCAGACGCACACTCAGGAAAGATGTTGCACTCAGTATTTGTTGTGAGTGACTCTCAGCTACTACCACACCATAACTTTAGCTCAATATCTGTAAAAATGTCACAATTGGACTTTTTTGACTTGGCTTGGTTTTGCTGAGGAAGTCGTACCGACTGATTGTTGAAGTTAATAAGCTTCAGATGTTTAATGTTAATGAGTTTTGGTACATTCAACGATTAAAACCTGTTTAATAATTCATGGGATTTTGTGCTAACAGACTCGCAAAGATCTTTACCAAAGACAATTTGGTCAATTTGACACATAATCACAAGCAGATACAGTTGTTATCAGATGTATATTTTATATTTTACCAGTGGAGTATTTTTTTTTCCTGGTGATCGAAGAGCAGCAGCAAAAACTTCATCATCCTCAGCCTGTGGTTCAGAGGCTCCTCTTCCAGCTGTGAGGGGAGACAAATCAAGCAGAATACAGTGAAGTAATTTACCTCTAACAAAGTCAGTTTTATTCATCGTCCGCACAGCAGGAAACAAATCCCAGAATATCAGACTTTCTACAGACTCTCATTAAGTCCATAATGTGTTTTTTTCCACTGATAATTCTAATAAGAATAATAATAAAGCAGAACCGACACTAATCTTCCTGTAAGAAAATGTACGCTGTTTATATTTTTCCCCGCTGTAAGAAAACATGCGAAGCGTTTATTGTGCTAGGATTAAAACTTTTAGTCGTTCAAAGACGATTAGTTTAATTAGAATTTAYAACTCAATGATATTTATTGTCTCTCAGCTGTAGAGTTTTCCAATAATTACAGGAAATGATGCTGCTTACTTAGAATTACTCACAATAAGCAAATCAATAAAACYTTTTTATGTAATTTTCTGAGATTTTCTTCAAATTTCTGATTTGGTCGTTTATTTTCCAACTGTTTCGCTTTTGATTGTTTCTTCACAGAATCACAAAAAATAGAACTTCTGATGCTTTACTGTTATTATCAGCCAAAAAATATTAAAAGTTTAAACTTTACTTTTTTAAGATTCAAGTTCAAACGTTTTACGTGAATTTGGATGAACCTAAATACGAGGCTGAAGAAATCGACTCTAAGCTGGTTTAATATCTGAACCCTGCTGATGTGAGCCTTCTGCTGAGTGACAGTTTTACAGACGGGGGATTAAAGCTAAATAACATTTTGTATCATTTGGTAAAAGGTTTATATTTCAGACACCCAAATTTTTGTCGTAATATTTACGTCTTAACATAAAAACAGAGTTCTCTGTGTTAAAGTATGTTCACAAAAATAAGGTCTTCAGTCTTCCTGGTATTAACACACTGGTTATTAAGTCAAATTGTTTCAATCTTGCTCTATCTGTTCAATAAGGTGAGTGTCCTGTGAGAGCATCAGTGAAATATGGCTCCCTGATGGACCAGTTTGTTGTTCAGACGACACAAACAGACGATAAACAAACTGATGGTCATTAAGAAGAAAATCACTTTCCCTTCTCTCCATCGAGGCCCAACGCTGTGAGAAAATCCTCTTTCAGAAGCATCTGTGAGGATTTTTAAACAGATTTGTTGTGGTTCTAAAGAGAAACAGTGTGGGAAGACTTTACTGAACTCCGACTCCCTCTATTGCTCATTTACTAAAGTTACAAATGACCAAACAAKCTTTTTGTTTTAATAAGGACAATAAAAAAACAGATACTAAAATCACCTTTAGAATAAAGATTTGTGATTTATTGTAACAAATCATCTGCTTTTTAAAGTGGAACTGATCGTTCTGCTGAAAAGCTTCAATTTAATTAATTGAATTACAGATATTTAAACAGTTTTTATGATTTAAATATGAGTCGGGTTGCCGGGCCCTGGGCCGGTGTGTGCCCTGGTGTCTGGCTCTGGGCTGGGGGCCTCTGGTGCGCTGGTGGTCTGCGGT